ATGATATGGTTCTCTACAAATATTCCCTACACATGTTTCAATATACTACTCTGATTTCAATATACTAACACATGTTTTAAAATACTTTCCCCAAATTTGTATTATATGTTAATTAAAAAATAATAGACCCAAAAAGAGAAAACTTTCTTGTAACTCAGACATAAAATAAAGATTGAAATCATACCATTCCTATCTTTTTTGCAGCTAACTTCTAGAACCTAGAAACAATTCTCCCACCTTCATTTACAAATAATTAATATTTTTGTTAATTAATAAAACAATCACAGAAAAACCATAACCTAATAATCTGCAAAAATAAAACAATCACAGAAAAAATTTAAACTGGAAGATAAATACATTTCATGAGTTTCAACAAATCAACCTCACTTGATGTTGTCTCCCTTGCGTGCATTCTCAACCTGCGTAAGACCTTGTTAGTACTTGAAACAACAACATCAAGGAGAAGAATAACATAAGGGTAAGAAACTGAGAAATGCATAGTTTATCTTCGTCGGAAACCACCTTATCACATCCCGCCGCCGGTAAATTTCGATTCCATCTCTTTCCATTTTTCTGTTTTCAATTTGTTTTGGGTATTTATCTTTTGTTTCTCTTAGTTGTGAAAGTAACAAAGATGCATTTGAAAAAAATGGATGAATATGTGTTTGTCTTTAGAAGTTAAGAAGAAGAATGTGGGTTTTGAAATACTACGGATTGTGTGAAGAAGAGGAAGAACGGAAGAAGAGAGAGAAATAATGAAAAGTTTATGGAAGAAGAAAGAGAAAATGTTTAGAAATTCAAAAGTGATGTAAGAACTGTGATGAATGTGAAAATCAGAAAAAATAGATTTGAATTGGTTGGTTTGAAACAAAAGAGAACTACGTGACATCAACATCTTATTCAATCATAAGACCATCTCCAACGCCAAGCAAATAGCGTTTCGTCCGCCAGCTGTCCAATTTTTTTAACAAACACAGTTCGCCACGCATGCTGCAAGTAAATTGTAATGCAACGGTACAATACATTAAAATAATATTAAAAATATAGTTGTTGTTTAACGGCTCTTTTACTTTTTCTTTTTTGTTTTTTTTTTAAATATTTTGTTTGGTTATTAATAGAACCCAATATTTTTCAAATTGTATCTCATAAATTTATTTCTCTCACACAATTTTATCATCTTATTAGCCTTCAATTGATCATATATTTTACCAAATTTTTTATTTTATTTGTTCAAATTATTATTGTTAAGGTCAAATGGACCCTAACCAATATAATTTTCAACAATCTATGTTCCATCTCATACAAAATCAGCAAAATTCTAATCCTCAAAATTCTCAATTTCCCCCACCACCAACAAATTCTACCGTATTTTTTTCGTCACCAAACAACCCAAATATGTATTTTAGACCACAGATAAATACTCATGGGATGAATTTTTCTCATCATGAACCCGAAACACCAAATGGGTTTATGTCCGAACGCCAAGTTCCACAATTTTCAACTCAAGTTGGTATTGAAAATAATACAATTGATAAAGAACAAAGGCGTCCAGTTAAAAGAAAACCTCGAGAGGTATTCACAAGGGAAGAAGATACACTTCTTATGCAATCATGGCTCAATGTTTCAAAGGATCCAATTGTGGGAGTTGATCAAAAAGTAGATAGCTTTTGGTTAAGAATCACTGATAATTATAACCAATATCGTGGGCAGTCACGAGAAAAGCTACAAGGCCAATTAAAATCTCGATGGCATCGAATAAATAGCCTTGTTCAAAAATTTGTTGGGTGTTACAAACAAGCTGTTCATGGAAAAAAAAGTGGGGCATTAGAGAAAGATATCTTAGTCAATGCACATGCTTTTTTTGAACAAGATGAAGGTGCACCATTCAATCTTGAGTATGCATGGAGGCTTTTAAAAGATGAACCTAAATGGATGGGAGCATCCACTGAAAATTCTTCAAAGAGATCAAAGAATTCTACTAGTGGTGCATACACGACATCGCCAAACTCAGAGACACCTTCAAGTTATGAGTTTAACTCATCATCTCCAATGGAGCGTCCTATGGGACAAAAGGCGGCAAAACGAAAAGGTAAGGCAAAGGAAAATACAAATGCAACTGAACCTCCTTCTAGTGTTAATTCTGATACAATGACTAAAAGAATGAATTTAATGGAAAATCTAGCACGGCTTAAGGAGGAAGAAAACAAATTAGTCAAGGAAAAGATGGAGTCTGAAGCACGACTTAAGGAGGAAGAAAACAAATTAATAAAGGAAAAGATGGAGTTTGAAGCAATGCAATTCATAATGTCAGACACTTCTAAGATGAATGATAGTCAGCGTGAATTTCATGAAAAACGGTGTAATAACCTAAAAGAAAAATATGGATGGTAATAATATGCAATGTTCTAGTATTTATTATATTTAAATATTATGTAGTACTTGTTATGTATCAACTATTGTAATAAGATGCAACATTTTAGTATTTATTTTATTTCAAATATTATTCAAACTAGCCGTTATTCAAATTAAATATTATTCAAACTATCCGTTATTCAAATTAAATATTATTCAAACTAGCCGTTATTCAAACTAGCCGTTATTCAAATTAAATATTATTCAAACTAGCCGTTATTCAAATTAAATATTATTCAAACTAGCCGTTATTCAAATTAAATATTATTCAAACTAGCCTTATATATACCTTCATTCTTTAATCACTTTTCTATCACCCTCTCTCATTCTTCAATCATTTTCCTACCATCCTTCTCTCATTCTTTTATCATTTTTATATCACCATTCCCTCACTTCAATGGATTCAAACACTTCAAACAACCTCAACAAACTTTTTTGGGAGGTGATTGAAGAAGAACTAATGGACAACACAGATGAAGAACCATTGTTGTCAATGCTCGAGAAGGAACGTCAATCTGGAAGTTCATCAAGGAAAAAAAGAAGATCAGTGATAAATCAGAATCGCGAAGAAGGGCATATACGATTAGTCAACGACTACTTCTCAGAAAATCCAGTATACACAGATTCCCAATTTCGTAGAAGGTTTAGAATGCATAGGCATTTATTTCTTCGAATTGTAGAAACCCTTGGAAATCATGATGAATATTTTCAAATGAGGGTCGATGCAACTGGTAAAATGGGTCTTTCACCATTGCAGAAGTGCACTTCTGCTATTCGAATGTTAGCATATGGATCTTCTGCTGACATTGTAGACGAATATGTTCGAATTGGTGAAAGCACTGCAATTGAGTGCTTAGAGAGATTCGTAAGGGGCGTGAATGAGGTATTTGGGGCCGAGTATTTGCGAAGGCCTAATAACAATGATGTTGAACATCTTTTACAAATGGGGGAGTCGCGTGGATTCCCAGGCATGCTAGGTTCCATTGATTGTATGCATTGGGAATGGAAGAATTGTCCTGTTGCATGGAAAGGACAATTTTGTCGAGGTGATCATGGTAAACCCACGATCATGCTTGAAGCAGTGGCATCGCAAGACCTGTGGATTTGGCATGCATTTTTTGGGGTTGCAGGTTCAAACAATGACATTAATGTGTTAAACCAATCCAATGTGTTTAATGATATTTTGGAAGGACGTGCTGCTAGTGTGCAATATACAATCAATGGAACTCCATATAATATAGGGTATTATTTAGCGGATGGTATATATCCTGAGTGGGCTACATTTGTCAAAACCATTTCGATGCCACAAGGAGAAAAGAGAAAACTATTTGCACAACACCAAGAATCAGCTAGAAAGGATGTGGAACGGGCATTTGGAGTGCTTCAATCTCGTTTTGCAATAATACGTGGTCCAGCGCGTGCTTGACACATGGAAACCCTCAAGCATACCATATATGCTTGCATCATATTGCACAACATGATTGTCGAAGACGAACGACATACATATGGAGGTGATTTTGATTACTCTTACGATAATGCAGGTAACAACAACTCAACGACTGAAACATTTAACGGTCCTCATCCGAATCTTGCAACAAGACTACAAAGAAGAGCAACTCTTCGTGAAAAACAAGTTCATCGCAAACTTCAAGGAGATCTAGTCGAGTATATTTGGGAACGTTTTGGACATGAGGATGATGGAAATTAAATTTGAGTAATTTTGTTATGTAACTTATTTTTATTGTTTTTAATTATATTTTTATTATTTTTATTATTTTTAATTATATGTCATGTATTTGAGATTAATTTTAATTATTATTTTAATATTTTATGTTTAATTTTATTTATTTTATATTAATTTAATTTAAATAATTTAGGTTATTATTTTAAATCAAATAAAATTTAGTATGAATAAAATATTAATATATAAAGTAAAATTGTAGGATCCAATATGAGTTCTTTAGAATTACACCATTGGAGTGAAAATTGAAGTGAATTGCTTCAAGATGATGTGGATCAATGGATCCCACAAAGAACCAAATAATAAGTTGCACCATTGGAGATGCTCTAACATCCAAAAACACAATCCATTAACCATATAATTGTAATGGAACAAAGGATATCATGAATTGAAAAAAAAGTAATTTGTGAACCAAAATTCTCTCAATTTGAAGATGTGGCAAAATGAGAGCAAAAATTATTAATGTCTTTTTCAGAACATTTAATTTTTTTATATTATTATAAATAGATTATAGATGGTCGCATATCACTTGTAAACGACATTCCGTGTCCATATTTCTCAACAAAACTACCCCACTTCTCACTTTTTGCTCTCACTCTGTTCAAACTTTTAAGTCTAGTCCAAACCTCAAACCCTAGTTCTTCTAAATCGATTCAATTTACGCTTGTTTTCGTTTCAGATTCTCTACCTCAAGCTCTCGATTCGAAGCTCAATTCACTCTATTCGATTCCTCTTCAGGTTAATTTACTTGCTGTTTTGATTTTGCCGCTTTTGATTTGTTAGGTTTTGAGATCTGAAGGTGTTTTTGTTTGCAGATTTGATTCGATCGGTTATCAATTCTCTTGAAATGTCGGATTCATCATCGAAAGGCGATTCGGTTCAAATCAGAGAGGTTTGGAACGATAATCTCGAAAAGGAATTCGCGTTGATCCGTGAAGTTGTTGATGATTTCAACTATGTAGCTATGGATACAGAGTTTCCTGGTGTTGTTCTCCGTCCTATAGGGGTTTTCAAGCACATCACCGATTATAACTACCAGACTTTGAAGGATAATGTTGATATGTTGAACCTGATACAGTTAGGTCTCACTTTCTCTGATGAGAACGGAAACCTACCTACTTGTGGCACTGGGAATCCTTGCATCTGGCAGTTTAATTTCAGCGAAGACATCGCTGGGATTGACGGGGAAGAGATCGCTGGGATCGACAGGGACCAGTTCGGCACGCTTCTTCTGTCTTCGGGAATTGTGTTGAATGATAACATAAAATGGATTACTTTCTACGGTGGATATGGTTTTGGTTATCTGCTGAAGCTTTTGACTTGCAGAGCTTTGCCCGTTACGCAATCGGGGTTCTTCCAATTGATCAACCTTTATTTTCCAATGCTTTATGATATCAAACATCTGATGAAATTCTGTAACGGGATTCATGGTGATTTGAACAAGCTTGCGGAATTGTTGGAAGTTGAAAGGGTTGGTGTTGACCATCAAGCTGGATCCGATAGTTTTCTTACTGCTGGAGCATTTAGAAAATTGAGTGATACTTTCTTCAATGGCGAAACGGAGAAGTATTCTGGTGAGTTGTATGGATTAGGTGTTGAGACTGATTAATTGGAAGAAAAAGTATCGTTGGTATTATATTACAGTATCTTTGTCATGTGTGTTGTGAGTCTACCTTAAATAAATTGTACTGTAAGTATTGTTTGGTGTGCATTTTGTAATGAAGGGGTGAATCTGGATTTCGGTATTCAGACAAATCCTGAGCAGTTTTATAAACTATAGTACAACACTTGAGAATTTTTTTATGTCTAGTTACTGGTGGTGTTGGTGTTGATAACATGAATGACATTTTAAAAAATTGGTTGTTTTGCTAAACACTTTATTGCCCTTTCTCTTAGGGTTTGATTGGTAGGCGAGAGTTTGCGCGGAGAGACAACTTACTTTTTCTGCTTGGTGCATCCAAGAAACTCTGAAGAGAGATTAAAACATATGGGACTCACCAACTTTTTAACTCTCCTCAAACTAGCGAAGAAAGGAGTAGACACCTTGCTATTTTCATAAATACCCTCTATTCATATGTTTTTTCATATTATATTACACTATTATTTCTAAAAATAATTCTAAAAACTACTATTAAAAAAATAGTTTGTTTGGAGATTTAATAATTAATTAATTTAATTAAATAATCCATTTATTTTAATGGATAGCTTCATTAATATTTTTAATTAACATTTAACTAATAAATAAATTTAATTTAATTTTTAATAAATACTTTAATCAATGATAGTTTAGTAATTTTTATAGTTAATCAACACTTCTCTCTCTCTCTCTTCTATTTCTCTTATATCTATAATATAAGAAAAATAGCTTTTTGTTTTCCAAAACATCACACATAGTTGCCTCATAGCACATTTCACTTTTTTTTCCTCTCAATTTTTGTTCATTTATTCTTTCCACTTTCTTCCATTTACAATCTCTTTTCTACTATCCACAATCCATGTGTCTTCTTCAATGTGATGGTTAATGGGACAATTTCTCTTCTAAGACCTAAACCATACAACACCCATTATTCCACGACCGTTTCATTTTCCTATTCCATCTTCACATTCACTCTTTTTTCTTCCACCGATACTTCCCTCTATCTTCTTCTGGGGCCTCTGTCTTCTTCTTCTTCTTCATCATTTTAATTCAATTTAATTGTTTTGGTTTTAGAATTTGAAACTCCGTGAAGTCATTGTCGACAATCTGTCTACTTCCCCTTCTTTCTGTTTTTATTCTGTCTTCTCTTTTTTTCTCTCTATTTCAGAAAATCGATTTGATTTTTATGTTCACTCTTTTTTTTTCCAGGTTCTTCAGGATTAATCTATGGGCTTCTGACTTCCTTTGTCATCAACAATAGAAAGGTATGATTATGTGAGAAATAGAATAATTGGGAAAGATTTTCATTTTGTCGGTGTTGATAATGAAAAGGGGATAATTTGTGGTTAGGGTTTTTATATTAGAAATTGAGTTTGATGAGTTTGAAAAAGCGATAATGAAAATGGGATAATTTTGTTGGTGTTCATTGCATTTGTTATCCGCAAAAGGATTGATACATGTCTTATACTCCATTATCAATTTATCATCAAAAACTCGTATTCACATTTTAAGTCTTATTACAAATTAATTTGATAGATATGATATATTCTTACAGGGAAATAAAAAACCGATTCGAAAAGTAGAACATTCAAAATCTTTCTATTGGACTACAATTTTGAAGAAAGACGACAAAATTTGTGAGATCCTATCACTGCTTCAGACTGGAACATTTGAAATAAGGTGAGAGTGCTAAGACTACGAATTCTAGCAAATTAAATTCACTTTGCAATATGTACTGAATTTATTAGTTTTGTCTGTCATGTATAATTGATAAATTTGTGATTGGTTGTGTAAAGATCGTTATCAGATTTGGAACTGGTGACAAAAAGCTCTCTATTATCGATTTTAAGGTGGAATTATAAAGTGAACATGGATAAAACCATGTGTTCTGATGATAATGGACAGATTGTACTGGTAAAATATTCGAAAACTTTCAAATTTGCGAGGAATTCCATCTTCAATGATATTCTCTCAAAAGCATACAACTTTTTGATAAATTATAGGCTAATGGTTCTGAATCGGCATTCATCTCATTACTAGCCAGCGAAAACATTTTCAGGTATTTCATTTTTTAAATTATCATAGTACTGGATTGCCTTTTTGAATGATAACATTACCTTAATATTTTTTCTTTTTAAATGTTGTTTCCTTCTTATGCATGTGCATTGATTACAATCCTATGTAACTAAATTATTACTAATTAGTGGATCGAACTTAGGTTTAGGCACTTGAATTTTCTCTTGGCTATATTTTTGTAAGAAATGAGACAAACTGTTCAACAACTTCAAATTCAGAATTGTACTATTCTTTTGTTAAATATGTCAACCTCGATTCGCTAATTTTCCTCCCCCCTTTACTCGTCCCCCACCTTCTCTATCAATTTATCTTAGTTGTTTTAAAGATATTCTTTCATGATCATAGGGATATACTGAATCAGGAGAGAAAAATATGTTTGATATTTAATTACAAATGAGGCAAGGATAAATATTTTTATTTGAAATTTTCAGCGCACACATGGTAGATTATTTGTTTCTTGTTGTTTCAATTTTGTTATTGCAATTTGAGAATCTATTTGCAAACATGTTTATAAATTATATCTATCTACTTTTGTTTATCATGTATTATTTTTTGTTTCCATAAAAATATTTTCAGGGCATTGCAGCTGGAGACACTGGAGATTGTGGTAAATGGGACAATCGGTTTGCTCCATCCTGCTAGCAAGGTAGGTGTAACACCTCTTGCACATAACATTGTGAAATTGGCAACTCACCAAAGAAGAAACTGACTATGGGAAATAAAGGATACGAGAGAGTGAGAGAGAGGTTTCTAGAGCACCATATGTCACAGAATTGCATTGGTTCTCAAAGAAGTTTTAGAGAAGGCAAAGCACAGTTAAATCTAGCTTAGGTACTTTACTACTAAATTGTAAATTCATTCCAAAGAAAAAGAGAGAATGGTTTAGTTATGAATGAATTGTATATCTCACTTTCTTTGTTCTGTATGGTATGAGTAATGGGTCAATGTATAGGACTCTGATGTATTGTTTGGTCTTCGGACGGAGAATATACTGTAAGAAAAAGTACTTGAAAGATTAAAAATTTTAGCAAAACTTTCCAAGTTTTGTGATTGAAGAATAAAATGGCGGTAACAACCAAATAATCCTTAATGTTTCTTTAAAGTGCAAGCAAAATGTGTGTCTATTATTAATTTACTATTTATAGGACCAAACAAATATAATCACGTTGGCAATTGATTTTCCTAAATAGAAGCCTGACACGGTTCTCAAAATAAAATTATATTATTGTTTTAGATGTCTGCTTACTAAAATAAGTTTTCTATAAGAAATTTTAATTGAATTCAAGATGTTTTTCGTCTTTCAGGAAAAGAAGAGTATTTGACCAACTTTTTCAGCAGGACGAATATTTGGCGGTACTATGTTGACGATGTGAAAGTTTAATAGCTGAGTGTTAGTTTGCGATGTATTAGAAATGAGTATTAATGTATTTTTGTATAATGAATTATCGTCGGTACTATGTAGTTGTTTTTTTTTCAAGTTTGCTCTCAGCCTGATTAATAATAATCATCTTTTTTCTCGCGCTCTTACAGATCCTACCTATATTGTTGTGTCGATTTTACAATCTTGTGCAAGTCGTCAAGATTTGAAAAAGCTCTTTGAAGGTTATATTATTTTCTATCAAACTGTTGAATATTATTTTCACTTCATATCTATGTTCCAGTTCTTCATCCATAAAATTGTGTTATATGTAAAATAAAGTCTGGGTAATTATATCTATTATCTTGATAACTACACATTTTTGTGCTTGTGATACATCAACTCGACAATCCATTTCATTTTGGTTTACAGCCTGGTATGAGAAAAGACAAATGAGGAAAATCTATTCACCACTTCTGAAAGGACTATTGGCTCTCTACCTCGGTTTCGAGTGGATCCAAGTAATGATTTCATCTTTGGAAAAAACTCATTGTCTTTTGTCTATGATTTCTAAGCAACTAAAGTAATTTGTGTTACTTGACAGACAAGTAATATTGCTTTAGGTCTTCAGCTCGAAGAGCAAAAGCTTCAACCTCACTCAGGGCTTTAACTGTCCTGGTTGAAGACGACAAATTCATGGTTGATTTTGGAAGTAGTGCCCAAGAAAGTAGTTCCTCGCTGCAAAAATATCCAGGTCTCAATATATTTGAGTTAAAGAAACCAGTTCGACCATCATTTATCGTAGAAATATCTAATCCGCCTCTAATAATAAACAACATTTAAATTACAAGGTCACCCTCGTGAACAATGTAGGTTCCTAGAGTGCTTAGAGAAGATACCAGCCGCTCACATATGGCGTCAAGAAGCTGATCATCCATTTGTGAAAAGAAGGGAACTCGTTTAACAAGGTCTAAGCATAGGTGGCGTTGGATGTCACGACGAAGATCGGTTGGCAACAAACGTAGAATGGTTTCTTCATCAACACCACGGGTTGCAAGCCATTTATATTGAACAAATCGTCTAACACGAAATCTCAAATCTCCAGGGAGTTGGCGATGTCCCATCTACTCCTTTGTGTCTCTTCGTTTTAGCCTCCACTCCTCAAGTCTTATAGTAATTGATTGTAAATATATCTGCATGTTCCCAATTAAATATGCAAATAATACAAGACCTAAGATGACAATCGCAATTAAGCTTAGATGTCTCTCCAATAAATATGCTTGTGTCTAGGTTTTGTCCATAAGAACTTAATTGCTTCAACCCCCGCCATAAACAATATAAGTATTTTGATATGAAGTTTGAAGAGACAACATGCTTTGTTATTGTATTTTGGAATAATCCATACTTGAACTGAATGTCATTGTTGGGGTCACAGCTACTAAACACATTTGTACTATTTGCCCATATCTTGCACATATCATTGTTCAAAGAAGTGCAATCTAGGTAGAGAAAAAAATTATGAAGGTTATCTTCCTTTTTGCATAAAGATTTCCAATAAGTAGTATATCAGTCAACAGACATAAGATACCAGGATGCCCCTAAAACATGGCTAGCCAACATGTACAATAGCACATTATATGCAGCCTCTGCCCAAGCAGTCTTTGTATCCACTCCTGTTGCTTTGATTATTTGAGAACTTAATGGAAAAATCAAATATAATCTTGAAACATATTGGAGCAAGACAATCAATGCAAGCGCATTATTCTAAGCAAAAATTATGAGTTATTTTGCAACAAAATTATTTTAAATTATAAATCACTTTACAATTTAATGCATCATTAATAATTTTTTTTCAAATTATATTTTCTTTTAATTATTTTATTTTTTTAATTGCTAAATAACAATATTGTAAAATTATATATAATGTTTTTTTCTTGAAATTAATTTTCTTGGAGAAGTGTATTTTTCAAACAAAAAAATTAAAAGAATGATAAACCTATTTCTCTTATTTTTATTTGTTTTTCTCACATGAGATTGTATTTTTGTGTATAGGTCTCCTTTATCAATTCAAATTTATTTAATTTTGTTTTGAAGACTCGTTACTATGATGAAAATAATCATTTGTTCAACTTTTCTTTTCTATTTTTAATGTTAATTCAATGTGCTTTGATTTTGTTAATTAATATCTCTTTAAAGCTATTTGTGATTTTTTTATATTAATTGTACTATTTAAAGCCATTTAATGGAAAATTAATATTACTTTTTAAAGCTATTGAATAAAATAATTGCTATCATATTTGAATAGAATACACTATTCAATAGAATTTGAACTAATAATATTTTCATAAATGATAAAATGATACAAGATTTTGATGAAACAGATGAGAGATAAAATATATAGAATATTTTATTCAATTTTGTCTGTGTCCACTAAAAAAAAAATAGAGAAAAATTAAAAGTCTCTGTTTTCAATTCCCTTAAATTTAATGAAAATGAAAATTATATTCAATAGTTTTTAATATATTTGATTTTATAAATTGACTTTAATTAATCATATTAAATAGTTATTATTAATTGAATTATATAATTTGCTTGAATATTTTTCACTATAATTTGTGAATTTAAGATTTTTATTATTATAAAATATTTTTATTATCATCAAATATTTTTAAACAAATTTATTTTTATAAACGGGACTAAGTTTACTATTGATTCATATATATATTTTTAAATAATGTTAAAAAAATAATATTTATTATTTTTATAGACGGAAAAAAATATATTGTTGATTCAAATCCTAATTTATTATTTTTTAAAACACAGATACTGATAAAGTACACGCATATGGTATTGATATTAAGTTATTGATTTAAATATTGAATAATAACAAGAATAGTTTAGTACTGATTTAAATTTTTTTATAAATAAATCCTAAACAAATATATAATATATATTGTTAATTCAAATATTTTTATATACGTGAAAAATTATAGAAACCGATTTATTATATTTCTTAAAAATAATAAATTATAACGGTAACATGAAGTTACTGATGAAAATATTAAACATTAATGAAAACATGAAATTACTGATCAAAATATTAGATATTAACGGAAACATGAAGTTATTGATCAAACTATTGAATATTAACGTAAACATGAAGCTATTGATCAAACTATTAAATATTAACGGGAATATTAAATTATTGACCAAAATATTATATATATATATATATATATATATATATATATATATATATATATATATATATATATATATATATATATATATATATATATATATATATATATATATATATATATATATATTATTGATTTAAATATTTTTATATATTGAAAGAAATATAGGCACCTATATATTATATCTTTTAAAAATAATAAGTTTTTTGGTTGAATACTTTAATTTTTCTTTCATTTTATTTTTATTATATTTTAGGATCAAATGCGCGTATCATACCGGTACGTGAAGTTATTTATCAAATTATTAAATATTAACGAGAATATGAAGTTACCAATCAAAATATTGATAATTAACGAGAACATGAAGTTATTGACCAAACTATTAAATATTAACGGAAGCATATAGTTATATTAACATGAATATGAAGCTACTGATCAAAATATTGAATATTAATAGGAACATGAAATTATTGATCAAATATTTTAATATTAACGGAAATATGAAGTTATTGATCAAAGTATTGAATATTCACGACAAAGGAAACATGAAGTTATTTGTTAAAATATTGAATATTAATGAAAACATGAAGTTATTGCTCAAAAAATTTAATATTAACGAGAACATGAAGTTACTGAACAAAATATTGAATATTAACGGGAACATCAAGTTACTGATCAAAATATTGAATATTAACAGAAATATGAAGTTGTTGATCAAACTATTGAATATTAATGAGAACATAAAGTTACTGATCAAAATATTGAATGTTAACGAGAACATGAAATAGTTAAAAAAATTTTGTCTTTCAAAAGGAATCGAACCATGAACATACTGTCTGCAGTGAACACTTCTTACCACTAGACCAATGCATTTTCTTTATTACATATATGCATCAATAAATATTCATATCATTAACATATTAATTACAATTATCAATAAATTTTCTTAACTAGTTGGTTTAAATAATTTTTAAAAAAATGTTTTACATATTTTATCTTTTTACTGTAACTTTTTTTAAATTTTAAATTTTCAAAAATCACTTAAATTTAAAATTATTTTAAATTTAAAATTACTTTAAATATTTTTTTGTAAATAAAACTGATTGTTTTTAATATTTTGATTTTATATTTAAGTTAGTTGATGTTAAAATTAATCTTTTAATTTTAAATAAATAAGTTGAAAAATTTTATAATAATTATTTAAAAGAAAATAACTTTTTAAAGCTAAACAATTTTAAAAAAAAACTTTTTAAATTATTTAACAATTTTTAAAAAAAACTTTTTAAATTATTTAAAGATTTATTTACGAAAAAAATTTTCAACTTATTTTTTTTAAATTAAAAGATTAATTTTAACATCAACTAACTTAAATATAAAATCAAAATATTAAAAACAATCAGTTTTATTTACGAAAAAAATATTTAAAGTAATTTTAAATTTAAGTGATTTTTGAAAATTTAAAATTTAAAAAAAGTTACAGTAAAAAGATAAAATATGTAAAACATTTTTTTAAAAATTATTTAAACCAACTAGTTCAGAAAATTTATTGATAATTGTAATTAATATGTTAATGATATGAATATTTATTGATGCATATATGTAACAAAGAAAATGCATTGGTCTAGTGGTAAGAAGTGTTCACTGCAGACAGTATGTCCATGGTTTGATTCCTGTTGAAGGATGAAATTTTTTTAACTTTGAATTAACACTCAATTAATAAAATATTAATATAAATGTCATATGGAATTAAAAATTAAAAATTAATAGGTAAAAACTGAAACTTTTAAAATTTGTCAAGCTAACAATTGGAACTTTTTTTTGGCAGGGGTTTTTTCAAATACACCCCATATGTCAGGGGTGAAAATAGGTATTAACTCTATATTTTAACTATATTATATACTTTTATACATGTGCGGACGCACGGATATCCTACTAATTTCTCTTATAACAAATAATACATCAAATCTATTCAACTTCTTTCAGATTTCTCTCTTCTTCTAATCTCTCTCACATATTTCTCTCTTTACCACTTTTCTTTAGAACAAACATACCCTTAGTCTTGCCACCTCATCATTTTGAAAATATTTTTTGTCTAAAATTTATTCTTTTCAACCAAATTACCATATTGAACTAAGAGCATAAATATCGGTAAGAAAAAAAGTGTTACTTCACATATCCCAACATTCTCTAACTAGAAATTGGATTAAAAATATCCTTATAATTTAATTTAGGGTATATTGTGATATCTAATAGGACTTACAGTTATATGAATATTTAAAAAACGTAGAAAGATTTTTCTCAAAAAAAATATAGATAAATTATTTAAATAATTGAAAAATGTGAAATAATATAAAAGAATAGGTAATGCTAACATGTGCTTTTAGGGTACATATTAAAAACTAAATAAAAAAACTTTATTTTGAAAATTGTGTATTGAATTTATTACAAATACATAATTAATTTTATATTT